ACCAGCTGCTTCATGGGAGAAGGCTGAGGCTGTCTGTTCCCCCAAAAGATCTGTAGTCTCGGGAAACTGACCTTAAGAATAAGTCTCTGGAAAAAAAAAAAAAAGAATAAGTCTGTGTTGGAATGGTTTTTTTTTTCCATTAACTTCCAATTTTCCTGAGACAATAGCTGATAGGATGTTTAAAACGAAGCTCCCTCCACGCCCTTACTCCCTCCTGGGCTCCGATTTGAATTCCCACTGTGTTCCTTAAGGCTCACGGTAGTGTCTGGAGCGGAGATGGAGCTTCTTCTTCTTTTTTTTTTTTTAAGTCTTAGATGTGACTTCCTTTCTTTTTTTTTTTTTTTAAACATTTTATTGGGGCTCATACAACTGTTATCGCAATCCATACACACATCAATTGTGTAAAGCGCATTTGTACATCATTCTCAAAACATTTTCTCTCCACTTAAACCCCCGACATTAGGTCCTCATGTTCCCCCTCCCTCCCCACTCCCCCCTCCCTCATGAGCCCTTGATAGTTTATAAATTGGTATTTTGTCATATCTTGCCTTGTCCAACGTCTCCCTTCACCCACCTTTTGGTTGTCTGTCCCCCAGGGAGGAGGTCACATATAGTACCTTGTAATCGGTTCCCTCTTTCCTACCCACTCTCCCTTTACCCTCCCAGTATCGCCACTCACACCACTGGTCCTGTAGGGCTCATCCGCCCTGGATTCCCTGTATTTTCAGTTCCTATCTGTACCAGTGTACATCCTCTGGTCTAGCCAGACTTGCAAGGTCAAATTCGAGTCATGGTAGTGGGAGCGGGGAGGAAACATTTAGGAACTAGAGGAAAGTTGTATTTTTCATCGTGTTACATCGCACCCTGACTGGCTTGTCTCCTCCCTGAGACCCCTCTGCAAGGGGTGGAGCTTCTTTTTATGGGGGTTCCTTCTTAGATGCTGGCTGAACTTTTTATTTCTTCTTCTTCCAGTTTTTTTTTTTTTTGGCACATAATCCACAGCATACAATTCGATCATTCAATAATCAGGTCAAGAAGAATTGTAAAATCATTATTAGCACATTCCATTTCAGAAATTTTCTCCCCCCCCCATGATTAAATCACCCTTAAAATGAGTTGTGTACTCACATTCAAGTTCTAGTGCTCCCTCCCACTTCACTGTTTACTCCTGCAGCCTCTTCACCCTGCCCATGCCCTCCCTACCAGTCCTTATATCTGTTATAATCTCTATGCAGGCACACCTTCTGCGCTTTGTAAACTGTTAAACCCAACAGACACAAGAAAGAACAAAAACTGAAATGAAGTGGTAAGGAGAAAACAATAGTGATATAAAGATAAAAGTACCACAATGAGCAGGGAAGAAAAGACCTCCATCAATATTTTAAAAGCCAGGATCAAGGAAGAGATGCTTGCACCTAGAACACATTCAGGCTGGGTCTAGAGGGAGGTCAACTGGCCAAGTATCAAGTTTTATCCAGCCTAATCAGGAATACAATGATCTGTGTTTGATACCAGGCTGTTCCAGACTTTTGCCTATAGACAGGCAGAGGGGATTGGCCAGAGGCTTAGCCTGACTAGTATACTCTGCAGGTGGGTCGTGGGCTCCCACTCTCCTCCACAGCCTGCTACAAATTGGGTGTTCACAATTTAAGTTCTGATACTTTTCCCTTCGTCATATTTTAATTTTGTACTTGTCATCTTTGGATCACACACGCTGGTGTGCTTCTTCCATGTGGACCTAGCTGACTTTTCGCTTAGATGGCTGCTTGCTGGCTTCACTTTTTAACACCAGGGCTGGACTAGAACCCACAGTCCCAAGCACTGAAATGACGGGGGTGCAATGAATTAGATGCTTTTTCAAAGTATCCAAATGTTGTCCCAAGATGGCTTCTGATTGTGTTTGGAGCCTTGACACTGCAGATGTCTGAAATCCGTGCTCTTCTGGTCTTGGGAATCCCACCCTGCTGCTGTCCTGGACTGCCCCTATTAAACTTTAACTTGTCCATCCGTCTGCATCGACCTTGTTCTGTTTCAGATTTCTTGTTCCCTGGAAAGGAATCGAATCCTAGTGGCCTTGGGCTGCTAACCTTAAGGTCAGCAGTTCAAAATCACCAGCCACTCCTTGTAGAAAGATAAGGCTTTCTACTCCTGTCGAGATTTACAACCTGGGAAACCTTTAGGGGCAGTTCTACTCTGTCCCGTATGGTCCCTCTGAGTTGGAATCGACTCAGTGGCAGTTTGGAGTGAGTTTCTTGGATTCTCTGCCTTCAACTCTTGCATATCAAAATACACCCCAAACTCACTGCAGACTAAAAAATGCAGACTCACGGTGACCTCATAGGGCAGTGGACTGCCCCTGAGTTTCCCCAGACGGTACAGGAGTAGGAAGCCCACATCTTTAACACAAGCAGCAGTTGGTGGTGTAGAACTGCTGACCTTGGGGAATCACAGCCCAGTGAGGAACCACTATATTCCTAAGGCTATGCACACAACTCCCTTCTAACTAATCTTCCAATGCCACCATCCCATACTGTGGCCAGGACGACGATTTCCTCTACCATTCTTCTCACGGGGTATTTGTCCTTAGATTTTTTTAGTCGCCTGAAGCTTAAACTCATGAGTCTTTTGCCCAGCTGTTCCCTCTGCTTTCTTCCCTCATTTCTCTGCCTAGTGAACTTTATCGAGATGGATCTTGGGAGGGGCTGCCACAATGGGCTCAAGCATAGTATAATCGGGAGGAACGGCCCCGAGGGGCCAGTGTCTCCTTCCCTGTGAGAGGGTCCCTGCTCCCTGGCACCTAACACTGAACTCTCTACAACACAAATGCTTCTCTGCGAAAGCTTCGGCTTTGGCAAGAAATGGTTACTGAAGAAAGAGCCATGCTTCCTTCTCTACCAGGTGATCAGAGCAGCCTTCACAGAGGCACCTTCTGAACTCGAACTTAACACATTTTGGGGATGAGATTTCCGTAGGGCGAGGAGAACAGAATACATATGGGGGTGCTGTCAGGGGACACCTAGCAGCCTTGGCCCTGTTGATGAACAGCTGGGAAAGTGCATCTTGGGGTGAAAAAATGAAAATCTTTGAACCAAGGGAGGGAAAATGGCCACAAGAACATTTAGAGCAGCGGTTCTCAACCTGTGGGTCGAGACCCATTTGGGGGGTCAAACGACCCTTTCACAGGGGTCACCCAATGCAGAACAGTAGCAAAATGACAGTGATGAAGTAGCAACAGAAATACTTTTATGGTTGGGGGGTCACCACCACATGAGGAACTGTATGACAGGGTCGCGGCATGAGGAAGGTGGAGAACCCCTGATTTAGAGGGTATTTTTACCGATTGTACAAGTAGCCCTGGTGCCATAGCGGGTTATGCATTAGGTTGCTAACCATTACAACGTTGTAGGTTTGAAACCAGGAGTCACTCTTTGGGCGATGGTTGAGGCTTTCTACTCCTGTAGAGTCACAGTCTCAGAAACCCACAGGGGCAGTTCCACTCTGTCCTGTTGGAATCAACTTGATGGCAGTGAGTCTGTATTTTAGTCAAACAGATTTTGGACTCTGGGGGAGGTGGGGGGGTGTCTGCTTGGAGAAGTTCACCCTCCGGGCAGTTATCGCTGTCATGTCACCACGCATTTTGTACAGCCGCTTATCACACACAACTGGTTATTTGTGTCAACTTGTCCTTTTTATTTTTTCCAGGGAAGTTTCTGGGTCTTATTTTCTCCCCTTACAGCACTCAGCCCAGGGCCTGGGACATGGTAGGTGCCAGCGAATACTATTTGAATGAATGGCGGGCGGTATCTCATCGATAATACATTTTTAATATAATAAAATATATTTAATATATTTTTCAAGTTAGGGCCTATTTTACCTTTACCCACCAGCCTCTCACTTAGGGGGCCAAGGCGGATCTCAAGCGCGTTCTCGTCTAGAAGTTAACTTCGAGGTGAGTGAGCCAAGGTAGGGTTCAAGTGGTCCAGCAGCGGAGGCACCTGGGCTTGGAGGAAGGGATGACTTCCCGCCAACCCCTTCCCCCGGCCCCTCCCTCCCCGCTGGCGGAGATCCAACCGCGCGCCCCCGGGCGTGGCCCAGCGCGGCGCCTTTAAGAAGGGGGCGGAGCACAAGAGGCAAGACAAAGCCCCTGGCCGCGCGCTCCCCCTCCCCCCTCCGGCGCACCACACGGACAGTGGTGCCCGGATGTCGGTGTCGCCGTCGGTGACAGATGGCGCAGTGTCTGCATCTGTGAGGGGACTTCTCTGCCCGGACCTCCTGGGGTTCTCGGCCTTTCGTGCTCCCACCGTGCCCCGCTCTACACCCCATCGCTGGAGGCCCGCGCGCCTATCACAGGCGCTTACATAACGTGACCTTTCACCCCGCCTTACTGCCCTCCAGTGCGCCGCAACTCAACTACGCGGCAGGGCGAAGGGGCGGGACCCAAGCGCGGAGCGGCAGCTGCCCGGAGCCAATCACTTGCGAGCGTGGGCCAGCTCCCCGCCTA